GAAAGAGAGTTACCATAATTGGAATTGGCAGTGGTGTGGGTGCTGCTTGAATAACAAGGGTTGGAAAATGGAGGCATGGTCAGTTAAGTAAAACTGGAGCCCAGTAATTGGCGAGAGGACAATGGATGCAGGTGGATAAATCATCAGTATCCTTTACAATCTTCAAAGCGCAAGAAGGCTGATTACTTTCTATTTCCTAATACAAGGCCCTCCCCCTCACCAATAGTGGATTTTGTGTGTAGCAGTTTGAGGGGAGGAAGCTCTATAGCACTATCCTCCAAAGAAATTCCCAACTTATGGACCACCAATATAAAGCCTGTCCAGCACCATTCTTTGCCAGAGAAGACTGCACACATGTTGTCTTCAGCTCAGCATCCTGCTGCAGTGGTCTCATGAGTTCTGTATGGGCCTCATCTATATGCCAGGATTCTAATTGTTCTAAACATTTACTAAACATTAATTCATTCACAAAAAAATTTATAAAGCACCTGTTACATAGTAGGAATTGAACTCAATTATGTACTAGGGATTAAACTAGATGCGGAGTTTACAATGGTGAGTAAACCAGATATGGTTCCTACCTCATGTAGCTTATAGTCCAGTTGGGAAGAGAAATATGAAACAAACAGAAATAAGCATGTAACTATAAATGCCATGAAGAGAAATGGGGTGTGTGGATGAGGCCTTTCTGAAGAAGTGACCTTTAAGCTGAGATCCAAAGCCTGTCTTCACTTCAGTTACTTTTTTCCTCTGTACTTCAACTTCAGTATAAATTATAGCCTTAATTAGCAATTAAAGCAGATCTTTTCATTTCTAAACTGATTCTCAGATTTTCTCCTACGTATTGAACTATCAGGTTTCTTCATACCACAAAGAGTATGCCAAATATGAACAGCATTTGGTGATGAATTCATGAAGATTCTTCAACTCACAAGCCTTTTAGACTTAGACTCCTTTATCACACTAATCATTTGTTTCTGCCTCCCCCATGAGAATTTGAACTCCTTGGGACATAGATTGTATTTTACTTTTTCTAGCACCTAGCACAGTCTCTGGTACATAATTGGTGCTCAATGCAGTGTTGAATTGCACTGTTAAATCTGAGATTTATACAGGGGGTATTCACCTTCAATAACCATTTTCCAGTATGGAAGACGATAAGTAAAAAGCTCAGAGAAATATATTAATGACAAAAAGCACAAGAATCTATACAGAATAACAATAGTTATGTTAATTGAGCCCTTAAAAAGGCTCTGGGCTAAGCACATACATTTTCTAACTCGTTGACTCTTGACAACAACCTTAACGTGAGTACTGGTATTATCTTTATTTTACAAATTATCAAATTAGAAAATAGAAGGGAAAAAAAACACTTGCCAAGATCACAGAGCTAGTATGTGGCACAGCCAGGATCTGAAATTGACGCCCACCATTTGACCATACCATGTCTCATGATGGGCATCTGCTCTAATGTAAGATTATTGTATGCACTTATTCCCGTTTGCAATTATTTCATCTGTCTATTAGTTATCTATTGATGTATAACAAACTACTCCTAATCATAGTGGCTTAAAACAAATATTTATTATCTCAGAATTTCTGTGGGTCAGGAATACAGGAATTGCTTAGCTGGGTGGTCTGGACAGAATCTTTCATGAAGTTGCAGTCGACCTGTTGGCCAGGGCTACAGTCATCTCAAGGTTCAACAGGGGCTGAAGGATTCACTTCCAAATTCACTCATGTGGTTGTTGATAGGCCTCAGTTCATTCCTTGTCAAATGGGGGCCTCTTCACAAGCTGCCCAGAACATGGCAACTTCCTATAGAGGGAGTGATCCAAGCGAATGTATGAATGCCCAAGATAGAAACTGAAGACTTTTTAAATAATCTAATCTTAGAAGTGACATATCATCACTTCTACTGTGTGCTACTGATCACAGACCAATGTTGGAAAAATGTAGGCAAGGACTGCACAGGATGTGAATACCAGGCGGTGGAAATTATTGGAAGCCATCTTGGAGGTGACTAGCCAGTCTGTTGTTTTCTCATTTTTTGTGACTGCCTCCTCCACTAGAATGTAAACTTCATGAGTGGACTGGGGAAAAACCATCAGTGCTGTTCACTGTTATAGTCTCTGTCACAGTGCCTGCCGTACAACAGATCGTCAATAAATATTGAATAAATGTAATGATGATGGAGAGATGAATTCCAAAGGACGAGCTCCCTATAATCCTGTCTTAGTCTCACACAAACTCATGGTGCCATTTAAATAATTTTTAAAAGCAGAGCTGTATCATAACCAAGAACATTTGTTTACATATGTAATTGCTATATAGCTATAAAAAGCGGACTCGGAAGGAAATACCAAATTCATGAGAATGTGGGCCTTTGAGGAGAGGAAAATAATGGCGTTGAAAATCAAATAGGGCTTTATCTGCAACATTTTCGTCTACTGAAGTTTTTTTATTGGGCCAATATTTAATAATGGTCAGTTAATTCTGAGTAGTGGGAGTATGGGGATTATTCTTTGTCCTCTGTATTTTAAAATTTTCTCAAAATAAACAAGACAAATTTTAAAAGTCTTAACCAATTGGAATATATGTCTGAATTGCCTTCCTTTGGCTCTTTGCTCTAATTAAGGGTGTATCTATAAATCCTTCTCCACATGACTCAGATCAAAACTTATTTTCTCCTGAAATTGTCAAGATCTTCTGAAGTTCTACGGAATTGGTTCGCTGCTTCGCCACTTTCTGTATTTGTGTAAATGGAGCCCCTGAGGGACAGCTGTGTAAGCAGCGTCAGCCTGGCCAGCAGCAGGAGACTGGTTTCTCGCACTGGTTCTGACATACAATCAACCCTCTGAGGCCAGAATACTGGGTTTCTAAGGCACTGGTGCCTCTTCCTTTAACACATTACCAGTAGGCACACTGGAACAATACTGGAAGGGCACATGGAAATTCCAAATCTGTAGGTATCAGATTATGTAACTTTTTCCTTTTGTTCTGACCCCCATTCATGCTGTCTAAAAAGTAAACCCATTAACACTTCCCTTTTCAAAGTGAGGCTCAATGAAAACATGGACTATTATTAATGAAAGCATTTTTAGCTGCTCTCTTAAAATATATCGCTGATGTCTATGGACAATTGGTGATAGGCTATTTAAGAGGAAAGAGCAGCATCTAGGCACTTCTAGGGAAACAAGGAAACAAAGAATAAAGTCAAAAGTAGGATCAGCTTGAATGAATGAATTTTTGTATTCAAGTTCAATACATTTGACAATGTTTTGTTCAGACTTCCTCTTTCCACAACAATCTTGTCTGGTAACAATTAGCTATTCCTACCTCCAGTGTCCTGGGCCCACGTAATGAGTAAGTGGGAAATGCAGCCCAAACTGGTATGTTCCTTAATTCCAGATATCCCAGAAACTCTATGCAAAAAGAAAATAGTGGCACAAAACAAGCCAGCTGAAAAATCACAAACTGCCTTGCCTATTCTGGGTGCAGACTTGGGTGTACCTTATGGGCACACTCTGGGGTCCCTGGGCAGAGTAGTACCAGGGCTCAAAGACAGGGCTCAAATTTTTCTTCAAGCACAATTAATACTTTTCTAATAACAGGCCCAGCAAAAATTAAATAATTGCATACCTTGAAAGGGACAAAGAAGGAGAATTACAGGTGTTACAAGTCTTAGGGGCCAGGGTAGTTTTCCTTAAGAAATGACCTGGGAAAACAATTTCAACAAAATGGACGTTATCAAAGGGAAGAAGCAAGGAGCATTGCAGAGGCCCTGCGAAGAGAAGGAGCTTGCATCATTTGAGTTCCTAAATGAAGCCAGGGAGGCAAGCGCTACATCATACAAACGGGAGGCTTTATCCCTTACCACAAGGAGATTTGGTCTCTGAACTGAGTAAGTAACCAGAACCCATAAAAGAGATCTCAAAGAGAGAATGCCATGATCAAGTTGACCTGCCTCGGGGCTTCGGCACAGGCACAGGGTCCGTTTTTCCCCCACCAGGTTATCCGCAGCGTCCAGCCCACAGCCTGCCATCAGCTCGTTCTTACCACCATTGTTGGCAAGGTGAACTGCATGCGATGCGGGGCTGTATTTCTCGGGTGGGGGTTGAGGAAGGGCCTCTGCGGAGGCAGCGGGCGGGGCTGAGTCTGCCCTGCGGAAAGGCGGGTGGCGGTCTGCGCTGGGGACCTCAGGGGACCTGAAGCGCGACAAACAGCGCGCTTGGTACTCGCACTGGTCGAGCTTTAGTTTCGGCGGAGGCTGCGGCCGATTCTCCGCGAAGAAAGCGAAGCCCCGCAGCCTAAGTGGCCGAGTCGGTGCCACCCCGCCCCGAGGCGTGGCCCAGAACCTCCGGCAACCGACTGCGTACAGGTGAGCCCCGGGCAGGTGGGGC